TTTTAATAGCAGAGTAGTATTCCATTATGTAGTATTCCAAATATACCACATTTTCCTTATCCACTCGTCTGATGATGGGCATTAGTCTGGTTCCAACTCTTGGCTATTGTAAACAGCACTGCAATAAACATGGAAGTACAGGTATCCCTTCGACATGATGATTTCCATTCCTCTGGGTATATTCCCAGTAGTGAAATAGCTGGGTCATATGGTAGATCTATCTGCAATTGTTTGAGGATCCTCCATACCATTTTCCATAAAGGTTGCACCATTTTGCAGTCCCACCAGCAGTGTAGGAGGGTTCCTTTTTCTCTGCATCCTCACCAGCATTTGTCATTCTCAGTCTTCTGGATATTAGCCATCCTAACTTGAGTGAGATGGCATCTCAAAGTTGTTTTGATTTGCATTTCCCAAATGCTGAGTGATGTTGAGCATTTTTCATGTGTCTGTTTTCTTCCTGTTTGTTTATTTTGGTATCTATGTGAGAATACTCCAAAAAGTTCCTGGAAAAATAGAATTAAAAGATAATATGAATCTTTCCATGAACTTTTTGCAGTACCTTCATATTCCATTTCCATGTTAGAAGCTATTTTGGGATAGCAGGGAATTTTTAGTTATCTTCTCTTATTTAAGAGTAAGAGACATAGATTGAAAGCTCTGGGTGATATTCCTCTTATTGTGAGTTTCATGGTGAACTTACTGGATTACTGAACTAGAGAATCTCCCATATCTGTATATTCAGCCCTTTTTATTTGGCTTCATCAGATTCCCTGTGGAAGACTATTCCAACTTGCTGCTGAAGGATACAGTATATAGAATATACCTTTGCACTTAGCTCTCAGAATTCAGTGTGGTACTCCTGGCCCTCAATTGTGTCCAGTGTCCCCTAGTCCTTAGACCATCTCCACTGAATACACCTCCAACATTTTCCAGTGTGGGGTGAGAGGCAGTAGCACAGCTTCTTGAACTGTTGGAGAGAATAGGGATCTGACAGATGTCAAGCAAGAACATATCAGTCTCCAATTCTAAATATTAAATGAAGTTTCCATCTCCTAAAATCTCGTGTCTTTCTTTAATTTGAGTAAGAGAAAATTGGCATTTTGAATAATGATGTGTTATATGAATTTCAGAACTTTAGTTCTTTTGTGCCATCTGATATTTGAGAGAGATAGTGGAATGTGTGAACCAATCTTACATGTCATTATATTCAGTAAGCTTTAATTCTGTGTTTTTATATAATCAGAAAAAAAGCTTCCCTTTTTATACAAACCCCAGTGTCTCTATTGGGTTAAGATTTAATTGATTTTTATTTTTTTTGGAGGCTTCCTGTTATCGGTATCCGAACCCTTGACCTTGGTGTTACAACACCACACTCTAACCAACTGGGCTAACAGGCCAGTCCTTTTTTTATTTTTGTAATAGAAGATTAAACCAAGAGATATTCACTTTAATGGTATTTTTACATCTTGCAATACTATGATTGAAGGTAGATATTTTTCATCATGTTATCTAAAATCGCTTAAGAACACACAGAATATACTCATTCTTTTAATAGGTGATAAGTAAAAACAAACCTTTTGCAAGATAAACTTGTACCCTTTCATGTATCAGACTATAATTATTACATAAATCAGCATAGTGTTATTTTTCCCTTATTTACCAGGAAAACAAAAGTAGAATTCAGGCCCAACTGTAGTGATCAGTGTGCGTTAGATGTAGAGTAACATTAATTTCTCTGCCCATTATTATATTTTGTTGCAAAAATGCTTGATGGTCCTGTTTATTATCTTTAATTATTTGTTGCCCTAATTTTTTTCTACATTACACAAAATATAAAATTTAAATAAAATATATGTATGAAAGATTAATTTAATTCAGTACAGGAAAACAGGGTGTATCATCTTTATTTAACTCAGTTTCCTTTTATTTTCCCAATGATGACGGTTTTTTATATAAGCTAGAGGTTTGGGAAATTATAAGCATTTTACTGAGGTGATCCTTACTTGGGATGGGCAAGAATTAAGCAAGATGTAGTCAAATATTCTTTGATAACAACACAAATACTGTTATCCTTTCTCTACTTAACAATGCAAACAGCACACAACAAAGTCTTTTAATAATACAAAATGACTGACATGGATATGGACTTGACCAAGAACAGGATTTACAAAGTTCAAATTCACAAAGACCATATATATATATATAAGAAAAGAACATAACAATAGTCTGTCATATGAAAATTTTCTCTGTACTTATTATGTCAAAGAAATGGTTTGTATAGACTGAATGTTTGTGTCCCCCCAAATTTCATATGTAAAAACTTAATTCCCAATGTGATGGTATTTGGAGGTAGGGCTTCTAGGAGGTGATTAGTAGATGAAGGGTCCTTATGTAAGAGGTCGTGGAGAGCTCCATTCCCGCTTCCACCCAGTGAGGATGCAGTGAGAAGGTGGCCGGCTCAGAGCCAGGAAGCAGGCCCCCACTACACGCCTGATCGGCTGGCACCCTGATCTCGGACTTCGTAGACCCAAGAACGGTGAGAATTCAATTTGTTGTTTATAAGCCACCCAGTCTGTGATATTTGGTTATAGCAACCCATACAGACTAAGATAATGCTTAATTGCTTAGGTGTGAAAGCACTTGTCTTTTCTTAACTTTTAATCAAATAATAATTCTTTGGATACAGTATTCTTAAAATGTCAGGCACAAATAGCCAAACCATCTTATGTATATATTTAACTGTCCGGAATGTTTTTCTCCAGTCATTCATTCCAGATTTTCTCTGATTTGGTCTTGCTCTTTGTGGTGTGAACCAAAGGAATCACAGCCAAAGAAAACTCATATTCAGCAGGAGAGATGGTAACAAAGCTTCGTTTAACATCCCTAAAACTACAGGGAAACCACCTCAGAAAAATTCCTCAGAAAAACTGAACTATTTCCTGCTGGCCTCAATATCCACTTATGGAAGAACCAAACTACACATTTTAACAAGAAAACAATCTAAAAATCTATGTGATTCATCTTATGCTTTCTAAAGACCTTTTTTATACATGGATTTGCTGATTTTTATCACAACCTGGTTTAATGATTATATTGACTGCTGAAATGCATATGAGTGATCTGAGCTTTACAGTTGAGGTAATTTTGCATAAGACCAAACACATAAATAGCTAACAAAATTTCTTTATAATTTTACATAAACAGCTAACAAAATTTCTTTATAATTTATAATAACTTTGAGGTGTTTATAGAAGAAAAATATTTCAAGTATATACACCATAATTTGTATTAAATAATTTTATAGATATTGATAGAATAGTGTGTTTGTTCCAAATCTTTATTTAATAAAAAAGTCTAATTTAAAAGATAATGCTTTTTACTAAGTATATAAAAACTACTTAGGACCACATGAAGTGACCAGATCAAAAGGTGGATATGTTTTCAGCTGCATACAATCACCAGAAATTCTCCCTCCATATTAATAGACTCTAGTTTGCTACTAAAATTATTGAGCTTTCCTCTGAGAAGGTCTGGCGCTACTCCTGGAGTTTTCTTTTGGCTTTAGAGTGGCTTTCAATCTAGAGATTGGGGAATATGGATTTCAATACTTACTAACTTTGCTTCGTTACAAATGCTAATGTGTGCAATTGAGGAAAAGATTAGAGATCTAGGTTGCTTGCCTTGAGAACTTATGTGTCAGAACTTCAAAGTTAATTAGAATTAATTTGCTTCCTGACAATCTTCTAGAAATGGCTAAACCTAGATCTACAAAAAGCATCCAGAGCTCAAAGTCCATAAACTCTAGAATAGCACCTAAGTGACAAAATTTTGTAAAATTCTGATTTGGCTTACTAAAACAAATAATTGAGAAGTTTTTCACTTTTGAGAACTTACACTACGTATTCAGATAATATTCTTTTTCACTTTCTCTGGCATCTTTCAGAAATCAATTCCAAGTTTATGAATGATTGTATTCATCAGATTAAACAACAAAACAAGAGTATTTTTGTATTTCCGAACCTCAGATGTAGTTTCTGAGATTCAGTCCTGTAGATTCCAATGGGGACATCTCCGGTAGAAGAACATAACTTCTGATAAAGTCTAGCATAAGTTCTGATCCATAAGTCATCCTCAGTTGTTTTAAAAAATATTAAACCCAGTGGTTATTTTTTACTTGCAAAAGGCAGAATTTATTAATATTTTGAAATCTCAAAGTAATATTTTATTAAGTGTTTATATATTAACTTTATTTATTGTACTCAATCTCAGCTTATCCTGGAGATTCAGCCAAACATAAGAAATCCACGTACTCAATTTGAGGCAGTATGACATTGTATTAGTTCAATATCAGTAGGCAATAGGGCACTGGTAATTGACTGGGAGATGTGGTAAACTACATGGAGACCTTTTTGAATGGTGCAATAATTGGAGGCTGCTACTGGTATTTAGTGGACAGGGTCTGCTGATGTTACAAAATTTAAAGTACAAAAGGCACTCCAGTACAAAAAATACTTGTCTTACTCAGTGTTCTAATAGCACCTATATTGAGAAAATTCTGTAGTAGAATAAGCACAGGTTTAAGACTTAGGAAACCTGAGTTCTAATCCCTCTTTGCTGCTTGTAAATCTGAACTGTTAGCAAATCATAGTATACTCATTTATAAAACAAAGGGGTTAAAACTGTATGATCACTGTTTTCCTACCAAGTATAGCATCCTATGCCTAATCCTATCAGTCCCAAATTGCCAGCTAGAGAAAAACAAACAAACCACAACTTGTTCTGAATTTTGTACAGAACAGGTATTTAATATGATTATTAATTAAAAATAATATGTTTTCCTCAAAAAGTTTTTAAGAAATTAAAAAAATTCAGGTGAAACTCTTTGGATACACATTAGAAAAAATAATATATGACATAGAAGACTTAGCCAAAGTACACGGTAGATGAATTTCAGAACCTTTTATCTGAACAATCTTCCATTCCATTGATTTTGGACGTACAGAGCAAAGAACCCCCGATCCTGGTGTAGTGTCCAGTCCCAGCAGAAGTCTGGTGATAGAAATCATATAATCCTTCACAAATGACTGCAATATAAACAAAGTATGTGTTTTTATATGTATGATCTGCTTAGAACAGCCAGGAGTGTGAACTTCTAATCACTTCTAAAATATTATTTCTCATAACACGTCATTAAATCTATGTAAAAATGAAATAATAATCTATCTTGTCAGTGACCTAAATAAAACCTGTACAGTTAAGCTGTTTGTAAGGAAATAAAGGAAGTAATTATTGTCTAGAAATATCTCTGACATGCTTACATTTTATGTGTGCTACTAGGCACGATAAATACATTTTTAGATATTTTAGTAAAAAATACAAACTGAAATAAAATGGTACATATCATAAGAACTTGAAAGAATAAAATTAATTTGCAATGAAATATTTCAACTATTTTTTGTTTTTAGGATTAAGCTCTATGTTAATAAAATAGATTTCTAAATTACATTTACCACTTGTTTTTGCACGTACTTTCTTTCCACACCATTCCATGCTAATTGTAGCCTTTTTAAAAAAAAAAATTGCATCATCACATTTCCCTGAAGTGACAGTACATCTTTCATATTGACAAGTTTGAAAGCTAGAACAGTCTTTACAGATACATAGACAACTTTACTAATAAAAAATTAAAGAAAATGTGATTGAAAATCATTACCGATAGTTCAAGAACCATTAGCAACTTATCAAAAGCCCTCCTGAAGAGAAATTATTCTCTGGATTTTACTAATTCTGAAGTCTGCAAATTAACTGTTTTTCAGTGATGGGTTAAAGCTAGTGAATTTTAAAAATGGAATAGAATACATTTCAGTAACATACAAAATAATACAGCAATACCAGCAGAAAGGGTAAGTGTTGTGAGATTTCTGCTTGTAATACACACATAAAAGTGCATGTTGGATTGAAATACAAAATATACTCTTTACTCTGTTACATTTTAAGAACTTTAAAAACTATAGTTCTAGTTTACTCTGTGCAGAAGCTTCACAAAACACCCAATTTCCTGTTTCTCTATTCACAACATAAAATTTGAAGCAAAAATGAAGAGGAAGAAAAAACTACTTCTTTCCACTTGTGCAAAACAGTTTTCTGTTTAACTTATATATTAGAGTTCCTCGTGAGACCTCATTTAAACATAAGATACTGTGGCTAAAAAAAAATCAAAAACCACTGGTGCATAATAACATCCAAGCATTTGGCTGCTATTGATATAAAATCTTCAGTTTCAACATTGCTCTTGAAACAAGCCCTTCCCTGCAATCTAATCTCTTTAAATTACAACTATCTGTGTGTTGTGTTAATGGTGTTTAAGGTGGGAGCCTTCCCTCCTGGAGTTCTCAGATAATGGGTCTAAAACTAATTACTAACTAGTCAATCAGAACATCTCTGACCCTTTCCCTCCTCAGTCCATCCATCAAATTTCCAACTAGGGCAAATAGGAGTATTTATTCTCCCTTGTGTTTGTTCTGGCACTCATCTGACAGAAGCAGATGGTTTCTGACATTGCTAGAGGCATACTCATGGACAAAATTAGCCCAAAGGCCAGCAGAAAAGCTTTAACTATTTTGGGATTAGTTTATTCAGTCAAGCAATCGTAGAAGAGGGTACTTAAATACATAATCTAAAAGAACAGGCACAATAAAATGCTTAAATGCTTAATTTAAGATTAACATTATCAAACAATTTAAAGCCCTGTGAATTTCTTCCTTTCCCTAAAAATATTTAGAGATTGTCTGATTACTTGAATCAGAGAATATTATATATTACTACAGTTCAGTTTGTGGTAGAGACAAAAAAAGAGTACATTACAGCCGTGTGAAAGAGCATCTCCCTGAACCTCACAGCTATGATAAAACGACACTGTTAACTCGGCATTCAGGAACAAACGTAGTGGTTCTTGGCTGTTGTAAAATCTTTTTTATATTTTTTGAAAATAGGCAAAATTAGCAGATGCTTAAAATGTCCTTGGTTTATCAGTTTTCTTGACATCAATTTGGTATTTTATGCCAAACCTGAAAAAAATGTGTACTATGAGAAATGATGACTTTTTATAACCTAGTATTTTTTTCTTATCCTTATTTAAAATCTAGTAATATGCTTGAAATAATATGCAAAATGTATTTAAATGTCACAATAAATACTGCAGGGCACTGCCACCAAAGAAGGCCTAAAAGTAATTTTCATAGATTTTTAAAATAATATTTTTCTTACAAAATATTTTATAGGCACATGTATGTTATTAAATACATGAAATAAAATATTGAATTACATTCAGAGCCAATTTTAAGTTAACAGCTCCATGAAAAACAGTAGAAATAGTATTCATTTAAATAAAATCTAAATGAAATAAGAATTTTAGAAAAAAAAAGAAATATTACATACCTGATACAGAAGAGTGTCCAACATACTGATGCTGAACACCCTCCCAGCAGCAAAAGGTAGACGAAACATAAAGGCCAAATTAGAACCTCTCTCCCGTTCTTTCTGTTCAGAAATTTGAGATATAAAAATTTGTGAGTTTTTATGTATTTCTGCCTAGGTAAATTTTCTTAGCATATGTGAGAAAAGATATTCTCAGTATATGGTTCTTAGCTATAAATGCATCATTACTTCATTTATAATTGTATTTTTAAAATATGCTTTTAATTTTTATAACCAAATTTTCCTAATCAATTTAAAAACTCAATTGTTACGAAGAGTTAATCCTTTCATACATTAATTATTTACTTCATATTTATTTACTTTTCATATATATTTCTGAAATGGTTTGAGGTGACAAAATAAAAGAAACAGGTAAAATAAAAATCATGTAATCAAATGTAAAAATTACTAAAGTCACATAATGTATCATAACAGAAGATTTACTTTTAAATATTCTCAAATGTTTAAAAAAATTGCTATGGTCCGAATGTTTGTGTCCCTGCCAAAATTCATATGTTGAAATCCTAACCCTCAAGGTGATGGTATTAAGAGCTGCAGCCTTTGGGAAGTGATTAGGTTATGAGAGTGAAACCCTAATGAAAGAGATTAGTGGCCTTATAAAAGAAACCCTAGAAAGACCCTCACCCCTTCCACATGTGCTATCTATGAACAAGAAAGCTGGCTTTCACCAAACACCAAATTTTCCTGCACCTTGATCTTGTACTTCCCAGTCTCCAGAACTGTCAGAAATAAACATCTGCTGTTTGCAAGCCACCCAATCTATGGGGCAGCCGGAACAGACTCAGACATTAACTACTCACTAGCTTTCCTTCATCTTAGTTTCATGTCTCCATCTGCCTCTTAAGTTGTGCCAGCCACACCAATGTGCAGCTAAGCTTCATGCAAAAATGTGTTTATGTGTACATGGGTGTGTTTGTTATGATGTATGGTGGTTTCTCTTTTAAAATTCCGTTGCTATTATCTTCCCTTAATAAATGAAGACATGAAAGCAAATGTCAAATTTGTTTAAGTTTGGAAGGAGCTTCTTAAGAATGTGAGTTAACCTTGTACTTAACAAACGGTAACCTCAAAAGTGCTAGTAAAGGGCATAAGGAAAAATCACGATTTGTAATAATAATATGCTCATAATAAATAATATTAAAAATAAAAAATAAATATTTAAATCTTGAAAAAAGGGAATACTTTTTAATTTAATAAACTCTACATTATCAATTAAAAATAAATGCTAGTTTCTTTTGTTGCCAACTTTCCTTTACTAGGAAAGATTGATACAGCTAAGCAAATAAGAAGTCAACCTTTACTTTTGAGGCAACAGAAGTAAGCCACTACTTCTAATGTAGCAAATTTGAGGGTCCCACAGGAAGGGAAGCCTCCCATCTCCCCACGCTAAGAATGGGAGAGAGGGCGTGCCACTCAAGGGAAGAGTCTTGGAGATAAACTTTGGCAACTGCTGTTCCTGGTTTTGATGATGATATGAGAGTGGCTTGACTCCTGGACGTCCCCTGGACAAACAGATGAGGTCGACATGGCTTACCAATAGCCAGGCTGAGGAGCAGAGGCCTTATTTCCAGCACTTGCATGGTGTCTATGTAGGTAAGCAGCCTGTCCACACTGTAAGAATATCCTCACTCGATATGGAGGGAGAAGGTAGGGTGAGAGACAGGCATGTGCTGCCCCATTTTTTGCCCATGTCCATTACATCATAATATATTCTCTAGTGTATTAGCCTAGGTGTCAGGAGTGTTTAAAAAGCTCATGGAAAAGATTTTTATTATCGTTTAATTCTATTTTTCTGTGAACTTTTTGAAGTGCCCTCATATATATATGGTGGGGTGAGGATCAGGGGTGCCCAAGGGCAGGCACAGATGGAGATCCAGATCAGCTGAGAACACTGAGCAAATTTCAACACGTAGAAGAAGACATGGTATAAGACATCATCTGAAAATCAATTAGGATAAATACTGAGAAAAGCCTTGATTTAGAAATTACAACATGATTCCAATCCCAGCCTGCTCTCTGCTCTCTCAGTGTATAACCCTCTAGTCTCCGGCTTTCAACATAATCTTATGTTTTACTAAAATGAATTCCCCATCATGCTTCAGTTTCAACATTGCTCTTGAAACAAGCCCTTCCCTGCAATCTAATCTCTTTAAATTACAACTATCTGTGTGTTGTATTAATGGTGTTTAAGGTGGGAGCCTTCCCTCCTGGAGTTCTAACTAGTAAATCAGAGTCAAAATTACTAACTAGTCAATCAGAACATCTCTGACCCTTTCCCTCCTCAGTCCATCCATCAAATTTCCAAATTTTATCACTAATCCATGTAATTATCTTATTATTTCCTCTTCTACATCCTATTGCTACAACATTTGTCAGGGCTTAAATCTACTATTAATTTTCCAATCTCAAGTCTTTTGTCACTCTAAATCACCCCACACAGTGCTGCCAATTAATCTCACTAACAATTCTGACAATGTCATTTATTGTTCCTAAATCTAAGCTCAGTTTACCCTACAATCAGATTTTCAGGACATGACTGAACACAGAGGCAGAACTTCTGTGAAAAAGCAATACTTCTTCATGAAAAGGGATTGTCCTAAGAATGTCCTGGCAAACAAGATCAAATCAATGACAAGCCTAGTGGATCAGGGTGAGTGATATTTGGTGTTTAGTGGTTTCTTTCACTTGGATTATCCCCGGTCAATAATTGTCTGACTGAGAAGGTACATTTTCTAAATCCAGTGAAATGCCTGCTAACTTTAATAAAGACTTAACTAACATTTAAAACTTTCTCTTTACTATTCACCTACATTCACGTGATACTACAGTTCAATCACATTATATAGCACATTTACTTTTCCAAAAGAAAACATTCTTTGGTTCAATTACATTCCCAATTTGCACATTATATTTTCAAACACAGAACTGTTACCCTTTGGAAATGAACCCTTCCTATCTCCATATATCTGAATTCTATGGGTAAGCATCATTTTATAACAAAAATACTAATTGAAAGTAATTCTGTTCATTATTAAAGGACCCAAACACTAATGTATTCATTTATTTATTAAATTAGTCATGTAAATATGTGTTGAGAAGCTACTTTATGTAGGGCATTATCCTTAGTGCTAGGAATACAGAGTTCTTATATAGAACTAATAAATTCTTAGTAGTTAACAAAGAATTAGTATGTGTTGAATATGGGCCAAAGAATTATTATGTGTTGAATATGGAATTTTTAAGAAAGAATTCATAAAACCATGAGTGGTACCTATAGCAAAACAGGCAAAAACGCTGGGGTGAGTGTAAGTAACAGTTCTACAGTCACAGATACTTTGGAAGGGCACCTACCTTATCCTTTTGGTGAAAAAGTGAGAAGCTGAATTGGAGGTGATGTCTAAATTGAGACCTATAATTGAGTAGAAATTAGCCAGGAAATCTGGGAGAGTGAGTGATAAGTAGAAAGCTATAAACAGAAGGCCCGGCATGTGCTAGAACCTGAAAGTGTAAAAAGCCTGAAAGACTCGAGGAACTAGAAGCAATTCCATAAGATGACAGCATAGAGTCTGAGCGTGTGAGCTGGAAGGAGAGGTCAGAAATGGGACTGGAGCAGGCACCACGGAACAGACCTTAAAGTAACCACGAAATAGACCTTAAAGTACCAGCGTACTTTTGACAAGAAAGGGGATGCCATTAAGAATTACACCAAAGAACAATGATATAAATTGAAACTGTCCCGGGAATAGCAGTACATATGGTCACCCTACTTTGAAACCATGTGAAGGACTTTGAATTTCATCTTAAGGACAACGGGGAAAACTAAAGTATTTCTAAGAGGAGGAGTGATATGATCATATTTTTAGAATGCTCCCTTTGATGACAATATGGAAAATGGATTGAGAGTGAAGAGGGCATGGGAAGTGCTATGGGTTAAATATGTCCCCAAAAGCTCATGTAGTAGGAACTTGACCCTCATTTTAACAGTGTGAAGTGGGTGAGAAATCCAATTATGGTATTTGAAAGGTAGAGCCTTTAAGAGGTGATTAGATTGTGAGGACTGGGCCTTCATGAACAGATTGATCCATTCATGGTGTAATGGGCGTGGTTCTGATGGCTTTAAAAGGAAAGCAAGTGCGAAATTTAGCTCACTCTTGCTCAGGCATTTCTATGAACATGTGACATCCTATGTTGCTGTGGAGAGTCATCACCAAGAAAAAGGCGCTCACCAGTTGTGTTCCCTGGACCTTGAACTTCCAGCCTCCAAATTGTAAGATATAAATTGTTTCTTTTTAAATTACCCAATTTCAGATATTCTGTTATAAGAAACAGAAACAGACTAATACGGGGAGACTGAATAAAATAAATTTGGGTGTTAGTGCAGCAATCCTAGTGAAAGATGAAGTTACATTCCACTCTTACATTTGCAGAAACAGATCTTATTCAAAATATATTTAGACATTAAATTCTGAGAGGATATGATGAATTAATTTGATAGTAAAGTAGAGAGAAGATGAAGATGATACTCAGGTTTCTGGATAACTGGGTAGATGATGGCACCTTCTGTAAAACAAGAAGTGTGGAAGAAGAGCAGATCACAAGTTAAGATTTGAACTTGAGTTTCAATATTTGTGGAGATGTCCACCTGTTAAAAATATGGATGCAACAGACAGCCTACCATTCAATGGTTTGAAGCTTGGGTTTTGGAAACACATACAAGAGTTTGAGTCAAGTGTTGTCGCTTACTAGTTGTAGGACCTTGTACAAGTGACTCAAACTCCCTCTTCCTCAATTTTATCACCTGTGAAATGGGACTCACATTGGCATCTACATCCCACTGTGATTACAATAAATATACAAGAGAAGACATCTAAAAATATTGTATACATTAAGCACTTTATAAATACTATTTTCTATTATTATTAATTCTTTGAATATACTAAATCATGTATCACCTCAAAGACTTTGTCTTGCTTTCTCTCTTCCTGTAATGCTGCTTCCCAAGCTTTTACTGGGCTAGCTTGGTGTTTTCACTGTAGCTCAAA